ATTACATTTTTAGCCACCCTAATGCCATACAGTCCTCAGCACGTTTTAACCTATTACCTTAACTTGGGTGTAAAGCTACCGCTAACTACGTAGGTACATCTAATCACCTATTTTTTTATCTGTCCTTCTAACGTCACACAATCTTGGACACAACTGTTCTGGACACGACTACTCATGCCTTCACCTAATACGCCATTTTGTATCGACGTCCATCTTGGATTTTAAATTTTGTCATAATCACAGTATTCTACTAGTGTAGCCCTTTCATTTGATACCCATATTGAGGGGATTGTGGAAAAATATGAAATCCGCCATTTTGTACCGGCGGCCATCTTAGATTTACAATGTTATTGATATTACTATATTGTATTGTCATCGGAACTAAAGGTGTGTACCAAATTTCAGATCAATCTGACAACAGGAAGGTACTTAAGTTTCAATTTCTAATTTTGACCCAAATAAATAAATACCGTACGGGTCGAGCTAAATAAAACCGTTTAAAAACTCGACCAACTATTGTCGACAACATGAGAGAAATTATTGTAGCTGCTTTTCGAGGTAAAGAACCTTTTAAAATGAAAAGATCCTTTTGAAAAAACAATCATTTTATGCCGTTAACAGGAAAGGAAGCATTTTGAGCATTTGATTTCATCTAGCTAATTTTTGTCACATAATTATAGGTTTTTATCAGAGATATGGAAGTGGGAGAATGAGCTTCGACGAGTGCGCATCCAAATTTTTGTCGACGGCAAGATGGTAGACATCTTCCAGGTCTCGCTGTCACTTCCCCTCTTTAATTGACATCTGTTTGTTTTGTTTTTTTTTCGTTTGTGTTGTTATCTAGTTAAAATTTATTATTATCTCAATTATTCTAAACACTAATTCAAAAACCCTTGTTGTATATTGTCATAGTCATTCTAAGAAAGCTAATACGCAGGGAAAAATGATTAGTTTTCATGTGTAAGTTTATACAACATAATCGTGTTTACAGATGATCCAAAACGGTTTATTTTTAGTTTTCCTAAAGGCGATTTGTAAAAATCGTGATTGTAATTGGGAATGGTCAAAAATAAGTGTATGATGTGGCCATTTAAAGAGGATGTTTTTATTACGTGTGGAGGAAGAAGATACTTGGAATCAATGTTCGTGCTTCTGTAAAACAGTGCACTCTTATAGTGTCCATGAAAGCACAAGTTCAAGTGACCAGAAATATATCAAATAAGATTGGTCCTTACTTGACAAGAAGATTATTTGGAGGAAAAGAAAACATAAGATAGGGTATTTTAATCGAACAGCGAAAATTTAACATTTTTATTGTAAAGTTTGTTGTAGGTAGTTGTAGTTTTGTGCTAAATATTTCTAACATTAGCAGCGGCTGTGTTCAGAGTGTCAAGAGGAGGAGAATTCAGTTAATTAGATTTATGCACAGTTACAGGTATGAAGGCTTTTTCAAACATAGTATCGAGTTCTATAGTCAACATTTTTAGTATTCCTACAACTGTAAAAACAAGGAACATTGGACTGGAAAAATGGCAAGATTTATATAGAAAGAAAGGGTATATGCCAATAAGAAAATTAAATCTGTAGGCAGAAGTTTCTTATTTAAAAACTGTTATGGGGCATATATTAATTTGTATCTGTGCCACAAATCACTGAGAAAAATCATATAATATTCATAATTGTTAACGAGATGATATTTAAAGAGTGTTAAAAATGAGACTATTAGTCATGAAGCTTACAGTGTTACTTTGTTTCAATATTACACTTTTATTCTTGTAAAATCTATGATGAAGTTCAAAAGCATTTTGCAATGGCCTTAAATTGTGAGTTGTGAGCCAGGATTTATAGTAAAGGTATTTGATGCAATGAAACTTAATCGGTACCTTCCAGTATGTATTTTAGTAAGGGGATTGTCAATCCCATGTTTTTAAATAGATAAAATACAGGCCAAAGTTGACAATATTACAGTTGAGAAGAAACTATTTTATCTTAAAAAAAAATTTCTTAAAATTCTGAGATCATATAATCTAATTTTCTTAATAATAAATTAGGTATATGTACATACAGAATTTTGTTATGGACAAATAAGGATCGACAAGCTTCTTTTGTGCAAAAAATAAATGATTTTTTCTAGTATTACGACAAACCATAATGTGTTTTACAAACTTACCGGTAACAGTTTTTGTTTATAATAAAATATTTAGGAATAATTTGGGTTGTTTATCAATATATTAATGACTTGAATTTTGACAAATCGAATTTGTATCAAAATAATTTTACGAAATATAAAATTGATGTTCTATTACAAGATTGAGTTTTTATTGTCGACAAAAACCAGGATAAATACTAATAATAATACCCTTAATAAAATCAATGATGTTTATGTATTATGAAAATATTTGTTAGAGGACATGTTATGTAACAGTTTTTGAAACATAATTTGAAGGGACGAATAAAAAAAATAAAACAAAAACATATTTTTTCTAGGTTTATATTAAAAATACAAGGTAGATAATCATCAAAAATAATTATGAACCAAATGTTTTTTATGAATATACAACTTGAACAAAAAGTTGTTTAGAACAATTTTTACCAAATTTGCAAAAATTTTAAATTGAAACGCGTAATTCAGTACAAGTAAACATGAAATATTGTAAATACTTATTTAATATCATTTCGAGTGTTTAACGACGAAAAGGTCATCTGTCCGTAGCGTCTTTTGTCAGAATATTCGTATATTTAGTGTATTATATACCAATATTGTACGCAGTTTTGAAACTGATAATTAAATAAATCATATTAATGTAAACTAACCATAATATATGATAGAATTTCACTAAATTTAAATTGCCCCCGTATGGTTGAAAACAGCAAATTGATATTTGATTACTTATAGATTACCACCTATATACAAAATGACAGGAAGACCTGGAATATGGCGCCCAACTTGATTAGACCTTCTGCGCATGTTGACGCTCATTCTCTATCCCTTCTATTTCTCTGGTTTTTATCTATATCGGCCATTTTAGGTCCCCATTTTTTTGGATGTCATCTATAGAAACCTTCTCTGATTCTTTGGACAGACTGTATAAATTGAGAAACTTTTCTTGACATTTTTTTTAAATTAAAAAATTTTGGAGAATAAAATGTTATTTTCCAAAATTGCCAAAAGAAAAAAAAACGAACTTAATTGAGATTCCAGCAATAAATACCTGTTTTAATTTGATGCAAAATGTATTCAACTACAGACCACCTGGCTAGATCTCGAATCCAATTTAATTTATTTAAAATTTCGAGCTGGTATCTTCTCGGCCTTGATTCCATAAGCATTTACAAATAATTTACGGTCTTATACCATTAACGTACCGTCTGTTTTCCAGTCAATTCGATGCCATAAAATTATTTTAAACGCGTTCTATAATTTTAAAGTGTGAGTTAGTGTATTCGTTAGGAATTCCAAACAGTTTTTTCTGTTTTTTTCTTTTTTGTATTTGTAGAAGTAACCAGTGGAGCACACATACAGACTTCTCTCTAACGATTTTCAGATATGTGCAAAATAATCGAGTTATTTCACTTTGAATATTAAAAAACCAGTGTTTGTGCATTTGAATTGAAACTTCTTACTAGAGAGAGAGAGAGAGACAGAGAGAATGTTTAGGAACGGGAGTTAATCAACGCGAGCTTATATATCTCTATTGTGTATTCCCCTTTCTTGAGTTATAACGAGTTGTAACTCATCATACAGTCTCAGGGCTTCAGCAAAAGCCAGTATCTGAGACGGTTCCACAGAGGCCAGCTCTCCATCCACGACATCAGACGTACCAAAGTTCATGGCACGAAAGGTCGTCGTGTCGGCGCACTCAGTGATAAGGTGTTCTGGTGTTTCCCCATTTTCCCCACAGAATCTGCATTCGCCGTTGTTTCTCAGCTCTCAGCTTCAGCCTACTGAGGTGTTCGTTGAGGAGACAGTGTCCTGTTAGAATCCCCGTGACAATCCGAAGATTGTTTTTACTTAAATGAAGGAAAACCTTTGATTTTTCTCGGTCGTAAGTTCTGAGGAACTTTTTCGAGTGTCTTAGACCGTTGGAGGATACCCATTCCAAGTTACGGATGGAGTCTTTCAGATTCTTCAGTTCCGCTTTCAGTTGGTTCCCGTTTGGAAAACAGAACGGTTCTGGTCCAGTTAGTGGAGTGTTCGCTCCTTTCCTAGCTAGATCATTTGCTTTTTCATTGCCTTCTATCCCTTGGTGAGCAGGCACCCAGAGTAGGAGGACTTTATTTTCTTTGTCTAATTTGTTGAGTTTCTCTAGGCATTCTTTGACCAACTTCGAATTGATGGTTACTGAGTTGATCGAGTTAAGTGCTGTTTGACTATCGGATAGTATGGCAATTTCCTGTTTTCGATAGTTCCTTTCTAAGATAAATTTTACGCATCTTTCGATAGCGTAAATTTCTGCCTGAAGGATACTGGGGTAGATGCCCATTGGTTCGGAGTATCTAGTTTTCGGCCCAAATACTCCTATCCCTATCCCTGCTTTGGTTTTGGAAGCATCAGTATACCACGTGATGGTATGGCCTTTTATATGTTGAGTAAGCGTTTCTTCCTTTCCCAATCCTTTTTATTACTCAATACTACAGTGACGTGTTTCTCAAAGTTGTAAATTCTTGGTATGTCATCCACTGGGAGTTGGAGAAGTGAAATTTTCTTTTTGAGGGTCTTCCAAGCCCCTGACCTGAAAATTCTCCCAGTAGTGTTTCCGTCAATGACCCTTCTAATCATTGTCACATTGGCATAACTACCGACGACAATATGCAGTGGTGTTAGGTCTAGAATGACCTCCATTCTTACTAACAGCTATTAAATTGAAGGATATGTTTGAAAAAGTGACATATAATGCTGTTTTAATATAAATATATTGTCTATAATCGAAAAATCCCATTTTACTCATGAGGGTACCTGGGTGGCATATTCATGGTTTTTTCTCATAGACAAATCCAAACTATTTCTTCCTATTTTGTGCCATTTGTTTTGTTTTTGTCCACGTACTTCCCTTTCTTTTTAAAATATGTTTAACAACTATTTTATTCCACGTTTCTTTTGGTCTGCCCCTATTTCTTTTGCCTTGAGTCCTTGCTTCCCATATTTTCTTCACAGGAATGTCGTTATTCATCCTTTGTAAATGTCCCCACCAACTCAATTGTCGTTGTTCTATAAATGCTTGCATAGATTGGATTTGTAAATTTTCTCTTATTATATCGTTCCTTATTCTGTCTTTTCGTGTCACACCTCTGACCCTTAAGAGGTATTTCATTTCAATTGCTTGTATTTTGCTTCTTTGACGCTGATTTATTACCCAAGATTCGCATCCATAAGTCAGTATTGGCCTATATATTGTTTTAAAAACTATCATCCTGGTTTTACTCGATATTTCCTTTTTGTTTATAAATTCCGTATTCATTGCATAGTATTCATTATTAGCCTTTTGTATTCTGTTATTTATTTCCACATTTGTTGTCTCCATTTGCTTCTATGACAATACCCAGATATTGATATGTCTCGACCTGTTCTAACTCTGTATCATCTACGTGTAGTCTAGATTAATATAAATATTATTTTTAATTTATTTCTGTAATCTGTACATTTTCTGTTTCCACAATAGCCTGCAAATTTTATGGAATACCACCCAAAATACACACTTTTATGCAAATGCCTGATAATGTTAAGGTCTCTTAAAGTTTATTTAGGAAGAGAAGAAATTTTGAACCTAACCAACAATTCGTGTTGGTCTGTTTTTTTACATGTTTTCTTCATTATTTATAGTGATTTACAGTAATTTTGTTAAATTATACGAATATCCTCGTTGATTATTGGTTTGAAATAAATATGACAATTTCCTTCAATGAAAATGCGAGTTGCTTAACTCTAATAATTAATGTAAATTATTAATTACTGTAAATTATGAACCACCCAAAATACGTTTTTCCTTTCTCATGATAAGAAAACGCCTCCTGATTTCCAATGTCTAACGTTTCCTCCCCATCTCTTATTGGAAACGGTGCATTGTATGTTAATATGTCAGAAGTCATTTAACTTTCACATCAGATACCACTAATTTCTTTCAGACCGTTGGAGACGTCTGGCCTTCCAATTAAAGATAAGTTATGGAACGGCCATGTTGTTTCTTCTTTCCTGCGGATTGATTTGTGGCTGATAGAGGCCGTAGACTATGATACATTTATCTCTTCTACGTTATTTTCAATTTAAAACCTGATGGCTTGCGTAAGACGGAGAGCGTAGAATGTTTGTTAATTGCCTTATTTAAGGCTGAAAATATTTTCTTAAAAGCTACTTAGCGTGTAAATATTTTTCTGAAAAAGCCACTTAGTGCCCGTTCAGTTATCTAATTCTATTCTGTATGGTAATTGTATCTTAATGTTAATAAATAAGAAATAACTTTAACCTTAACGGTAAAGGTTTTTTTAATATTGCATTTTTACCCCTTCAATAATCAGTAGTAAATTTGGAAATACCAGTCGAGAAAAAAACGGCGTCAAAACCCGAGAGCATTCTCTCTCATTACGGGTTCTTACGGCCAGTGGGCTTTAAAAAGATTATAATTTATTTTTATATTGAGAAAAATGATATTGAGATCAAGTAATTTAAACTCTGGGAGAACTTCTTTAGGCACGCTGGCAGTAAAAATTCAAGGCCGTGACACACGAGCAAGCGAGATGAAAAGTGATAAGGATCGCACGATCGCGCAAACTCCGAAAATCATTTGATGAGTTATTATGGGTTATTTATTTATTTATTGATGTACAGTGTGTCCCATTTTGGTTGAAATCATTAGGTATCTCCGTTATTAGTGAAGATAGAAGGGTGCGGTTTGCACAAATCTGTCCCACTTTTTCGTCAAACGGAAGATGCTGCATAGAAAATTTTGATAGCCCTCTTCATTTCTGAGCTACAGGGCCTTTTCAAAAATTTTGCAATTTGGGTAACCCCCTGTATCTCTGTTATTGTTAAAGGTATCGAGAAGGCGAAAACTGCTTATTGTAGAACTTTTTACGTAGAATACAGTGGCGTAGCCTGTTTTTCTACCAAAAAAATATTTTTGAAAATATGAACTAAAGTTATGTTTTTTCAAATGGAACACCCTATATATTTATAAATCATATGATCTGTCTTGCTACGAGCTTCTCAAAAATATATATCACTCTATATTTATTTTCACTATTTACTGCAATATTTAAAATATGTCATTTTCTTATTAGTAGGCCGTGATAAATAACAAAAAATCAAAATGGTATTTACAAAAATAGTCATACACATATTAAAATTTATTTGGGATTGATATATTTTACTTTTGAAATAACTGTTACCACTGAAACTGTGAATATATTTTTCTTTTTTTTTATAACGGGTTGGGTTTGCAAATATCTAAATCTTGAATTATTAAAGCATTTTTGAGGTGTTCGACATTGTTGTAGTGCCCACGATATATTTCGTATTTCAAAAACCCCCAAAATCAGAAATCGAGAAGGGCGAAATCCGGGAATCGAGAAGGCTATCAATATGCGTTCATTGGTTCCAATTCATTGATTTGAAAAATAATAATTTAACAGTATTCTAATATAATAGTTATGAGGGGGAATGTTCCCCATCTTGCTGAAAGTATATTTCACGTAAATTAGCTAAAGGAATATCTAAAATTTCCGATACGATAGATTATTCTTACGTATACACTTATTCCAAGATTTACAAATAGCGGTAGAGAGTTAAGTTTCCCTAATATATGAAGAATTTATTAGCGGCTCCCAAAATAAAACAAGAGACAGATAGCAGTATACTTTTAATAATTCTTTAGTTTCTTTTATTATCAATCATGGCCTACTAATAAATATGATCTTCTAATAAAAACTTTTAAATATTGCAGTAAATAGTGAAAATAAATATAGAGTGATATATATTTTTGAGAAGCTTATGGCAAGACAGATCATATGATTTATAAATATACAGGGTGTTCCATTTAAAAAAACATAACTTTACTTCATATTTTCAAAAATATTTTTTTGATAGAAAAACAGACTACCCCACTGTATTCCACGTAAAAAGTTCTACAATAAACAGTTTTCACCTTCTCGATAGCTTTAACAATAACAGAGATACAGGAGGTGTCCCAAATTGCAAAATTTTCAAAAAGACCCTGTAGCTCGGAAACGAAGAGGGCTATGAAAATTTTGTTTACGGCATCTTCCGTTTGACACAAAAAGTGAGACAGGTTTGTGCAAACCGCACCCTTCTATCTTCACTAATAACGGAGATACCGTATGATTTCAACCAAAATGGGACACCCTGTACATACTACAACGCCATATGTGGTAATAACAAGTAAGAGGGTGCTATTAATGCACAAACTAATAATCACAGAATTTAATAAAAACTAACCTATAGAAATAACTTTGAAAGTGGTATAATGTGCTTATCAATCAAATTTACTTGTCTGGCTGCAGTCAAGGATAATAAAAGACCTTTATTGTCACCTTCTTGTTCAAAAGAGTTTATCAGGGAAGCTACAAGCTCTTTGCTTCGATTTTTTAAATGCTTCGGCATATTTTCAACACACAATTTCAAGAAATGCAATACAAAAACTCTAACTGTTTGTGCTTAAAAGTAAGATTTTAAAAAAAGACTATTAAAATCGGCAAAAAGACGAGAAATAAGTAGTTCCAAAGATTCAACAACAACATAATATTATACAACAAATATTGACTGATATTACGATAATGTCATATAAAAAAAAACGACAACGTTGCTGATTGCGGCGCAAGGCGACCAACATGGCAATAATAAAAATCGCTTTAAACTAATTTTTGCCGTTTTAATCTAAATAAAACATCTGTTACAATTATTTGCTCTATAAAATAAAGAGCTGGTCTGTATCTTAAATTATACAAAATATTTATACATTTTTGCCAAAATTTAATTTAGTCAGGTTTATAGGCTTTAGTGTCAATTTCGATGTGATTGATGACGTGCATCGGAAAACGTTTTGCGATTACCGTAGTATATACTCCGGCCTAGACACCGTATACAGGGTCTATCCCGGGGCCAGACCGCTTCGAAGGTGACCCGATCCACACCGGAGGCCTCACAACAAACGATCGACTGTCTCTAACTCCCCCCTGTCCCCTTGTTCCCCGCTGCGGACCCTCGATCAACCCCCGCCGCCGGTCGCCATGGTAACCGGACCGGGTGCGGATGGTCGGCCATCTTGGATCCGGCGTCCGTGCCGCTGCAACTCCAGCTGATTTAGGAGGAGAGCTCGTCCGCTTAATTTTGTCTGTTGCCGGCATGTATGTGTGCTCTTTTTTTTTCCTCGTTTCCCTCTGTTCTTTTTGGGTTTTGGTCTTTCAGCTTTTTTCTTTTGGTTCGATTTTTCTTTTGGTCGCGGTGTAGAAGAATGTAATGAATGCTTCATAAGAAATGTGGGGAGTAAATAGAAAAAACGTTTTTTTTGCAAACATTTTTACACCACTTTACCGCCTAAGAATAAAAGTACATAAATATATTATTATTATTAAACTGACAAAAAGTGTCGAATTCAACGAGCGTAACCATAGTTTCTCGATATATATTACATACAAGGTACCTATGACTTTTAAATCTTTTTATATGATTTTGAACGTTTGAAATTGTTTAAAAAAATTATTTGTGGCGTTTTAAATAAAGAGCATGTTTCTATTCGGAGTAAAAATGACTTTTTATGACTCAGCTGTATGTCAAACGTACAGCCTCGCCACGAAAACTTTCGTCATTTTTATGTTTACATAGGGTGTCCGGAAAGTGAACATAAGCATCCAGAAAAACATAATATGACCTTAGTAAAAAATCGATGGTTTTCGAGATATTTGCCACTTTAATAAAATTTGTTAATATCGTCTCGTTGGAACAGATTTTCGGCTGTTGAAAAATAAAAAAAAATAAGAAAAGTAATAAAAAAATAAAAAAAAATAAAAAAATGTAAAATTGTAAATGAGGGTGTAAAATTTTAACAAATTTTGGCAATACCTATCTCGAAAAAGGTCGATTTTTTATTAAGGTCGTATTATTTTTTTCTGGATGCTTATGAGTTGGTCCATCACCCCTTTCAGTATTATCGTGGAAGACGCCATGATCAGCTGACTTATTAGGTATTTTTACCGTTTACCTATTTATATCTTTTCAACAAGAACTTTGGTTTAATTATGCCATGTGTGTAATAAGACGTGATGAAAGATAGAAATGTATCTATTAATTTTTTATTAAATG